GAACAGGGGAGGGAGTGGATCCCCTATGGGACTGGTCCCCTGCCAGCCCCACCCTGGGACCCCACCCCCACCCTTGCTGGGCCACAGGCAGGGGGCAGCAGTTTGGGAGACTTCCGACACGGGAAGGACACGACCACGAGAAACCTGTGGAAGCCAGGGGGACTCAGCCACCCCACCTCCCTGCCCCCTCTTCCTTCCAGTTGAAAGCTGGGCCACTGTGTGGCCAGGCCCTTCTTCAGAAAGTGCTGGAATTCCTCCCTGGAGTCCTCAGCTTCTATCAGTTGAGTGTGCTGTACATGGAAAGGGCTCCCCTTGGCTTCCTAGAAAGCTCCCCATGACTGCAGAGGCAAAAATGGCTGCCAGCAAGGCTCCCACCAGAACAGTGGTGGGGATGAGGGGCGGCCTCCCTGGCTCCACGGAGGTCTCCAGGGCACCCCTGGGGGACAGCAGGTTCTCAGCTCACAGTTTGCAGACTGGAAGGGGGAAAGCAGCGGACCCCAAGCACGTTCCGGGCCTCCCCAGCAACACCCCTGGGGTTGTGGTTCTGCCGCACGGTCAAGGCTAGTCCTGGTTTAGTGGGATGATCTGAGTTCGAAGGGCAGGGGCCCAGGGAGGGGCCTGGCTGTCCTCCCTGAGGTCCAATGGCTGATGCCCTTGTCACACACCTCGGAGAGGTGCCCACCCCCGTGCCTGCGTCCAGCTCTTCTCAGAGGCTCATCTCTGCGAGTGATAAAGCAGAGACTTGTCTTTGGGATTCCTGGCTTGACCCTTGAGCCTCGGGAATGGTGCTGGGCCACAATTCCCCACAAAGCCCTGGTCTCTGTGGGCCTTCGGGTAGGACTTGCTGCTGGTGGTGATGACAAGGGGCACCCGGAACAGAAAACTGCGAACAGAAGGAGGGAGCAGGGGAGAAGTGTGTGTGTGTGTGTGTGTGTGTGTGTGTGTGTGAGTGTGTGTGTGTGTTGGCATCAGAGGGGTTGCTGGGGAGCTGCTGAGCTGGTCCCGCAACTGGGCTGACATGTGAGCTGGGCGGTGGTGGGCCCCATGACCCTGAGGGAACGGCAATACCGTGGCCCCCATGGACATCCATTGTCTGCCTTGGGACCCTGAGAAAGAGCTAGAAAGTCTCACACATTTAGTTTCCTGGACAGGCAGCCTACAGAGCAGGCCAGCTGGCAAATGGCTTTCTACCTCTCACCCTCCCTGGCGGATGAGAGCTCCGGAGGGGGCCGTCGGCCCTAGAAGCTTCCTGCTGCCTGTGCTACGGAGGCAGCAGCCTCTGTGACGTTAATCAGCAAAAATGGCTGGAGAGTTTCCAGATCTCAGGGAAGAGCCTGCTCTGGACCGAGCGTGTCCCCTTGCAGATTCACGTGTTGGCATCCTCCACCCCACCGCGTGATGGTGTTAGGAGGTGGGGTCTTTGGGGGGGGCGCCTAGGTCAGGAGGGTGGGGCCGGGTGAGTGGGGTCAGTGCTCTTGTGAGAGACGCCAACCCTTCCATCCGCCACGTGAGGAAGAGCGAGAAGTCAGCCGTCTGCAACCAGCACCAGGGCCCTCACCAGAACCAGGCCACGCCGGCATCCGCTCTCAGACACCCAGCCTCCAGAAATGCGAGAAAGAAGTTTCTGCCGTTTCCCAGCCACCCAGTCGGTGGGATTTTGTCATAACAGCCTGAACAGACGAGGACAGAGCCCAACTTGGGCGACTGGCCCATCCATGCACCCGGCACTCTGTTACCACCTCCTTAGATCCCCCTTTCTCTTCCTGGGATTTCTCCCCCCGCATCATGGCCCACTCCCGGCACTCGGACTGCACCTGTTGGGGGGCTCTCAGCTCTCTTCTTACTTTTCCTCTCCTGTCTCCTCCGTCCACCTCCTTCCCTCTTCCCTGATGCCGGGAACCCCTGGTTCTAACAGCTCAGAGCGCGCGGCTTGCAGCCTAGTGATATCCAGCCCCGGGGAAGTTGGCAAAACACGGAACAGACAGAAAGGCACCCCTCATCCCAAATCCCACTGTAGCCACCCACCGCTGTGCGCAGGGCAACTGCAGCGCGGACTGGCTGCTGCCCATCTGCTGTCACCCCCACCTTTCCCAAGTGACATCTTCCAAAATCAAAGACACTGCCCAGCTGTCAAAATAAGGGTTCGTATTTTCAGACACAGGACAATGACTGCTGAAAAGAGATGATGTAAACACACAAACAAACGAAGTGGAGGAAGGGGAGGGCTGGTGGCTTGCCTTCCTCCAAATTCATCCTTCTCACAGAAGCAGGGACCGAAATGATGACCTTCGTGAGTCCTTAGAACAGCAACTGACAAGCACATCCTCCCAGCCATAAAGGCTTGCATCAAAGGAAACCAGAAAAAGGGATGAAGGTTTTGATCTCCAGAGGAGAAAGAGGGAGCTCGCTAAGTGCTCAGGACAAAGGGATGGCCAAGCCCGCGAGTTAATTATTCGTTCTGCCCCAGCAGAACAATGTGTAATGAGCACCGCAGAAAGCAAAGTGAATTTCTAACAGAGATAACAAGGGCACCGCAACGAGGAAGCCTGGAGGCATAAAGGACGGTGACCTTCTTAAGCATTTAGTGAGGCTGCCCTTCCTTTCTTGAGAAACACCCCTCGTGGACACACCTCCTTGCTAAAATCATATAGACTTTCTCACATCAAACAAAAGGCCCAGAATAGGGCTAAAAGTGAAGAAATTAAGGTCCTTACTCTTGCCCTGTCACCCTGAACAAATCACTTAAATGTCCTCTGCCTCACTTTCCCCCGTTATAAGACGGGGAATCCTAAAACCAGGATTATTTGGAGGCTCACATGTGATCCCAATTGGGGAAGCCGAGTGTGGGCCACCTGGGGCCCTCCATGGGGTGAGTGACACTGTGTATGGAAATGCCAACCCATTGACCACCTGCCAAAGTGACTGAGTTTATTTTTAAATGTCGTTGAACTTCATACAACATCATGATAGCCTGCAGTGGGTGTTTCTCTATGCCTGCCCCACCCACAATTTGTGTGTCAAAGCTCTCCACTGCCATCATGCAATAAGGTCAAAATCAGATCCAGGAGGAAAATGCTAGGCTCTCACGCCCTCGCACTCCATGCCGGCCACTAGCGTGGGGAGGCCAGCCCGGGTCATTAGTAAGCAAAGAAGGCTGTGGGACTATGGTCTTTTAGGCCCAGTGGTAGCTACTGAGAGCTGGCCGTGGTGATCCAAACCCATGGAGCTGTAAAATCATCCATCTATAAGCCCAAATACCCCAGAGCAAGAAACTGAGGGGCAGCTCCCACAGGTTCTGCAGGGGCTAGAGCATCATAAAAATCCCAGCCTAATAAAAAGGGGCGTGTCTCCCTCAAAGGAGTGTTGCAAGGATTCTTGGTCCCTCAGTTAATCCGGAGACCTCAGAACAGAGCTGGAAAGCCAGGTGGCTCTTCCTGTGGTGTAGGCACCGGCCACAGTGTGTAATAAATCTTCCAGCAGGCAGAGTCTCCAGAAGTCACATCGAGTAACCAAAAGTCACTGTGGGGCAAAGGAGTGAGGCCACGTGGGGACCCCAAATTCTCCCACTGCCCACCGGTGGTTAATCTAATAGTGGAGGTCCAACACCGTGAGGCTAGGATGGCATCTGCAGACTCACGACTGACTGCGGACAAGTCACGATGATGTCGCCACCCCTGCCATCACTGGAGTTTCTGGGTCCAGGAGGTGAGAAGAAGGTGGCTCTTTGTGCCCATGCAATTTGTCCTTCCTACTTCAGTGTCATATGGTAACTATAGTGGCTGTGCTTACATGAACCATTTAGTAAATGGACTGCCGAATGGAGAGAAATATCTGGAAGGGACACCAACATAACCAGGGATGAAAGTGACTCTGTGATGAGCAAGCAGTTTCTGAAACGGCCCTGCCCTACTCTGTCTGGGACAGTAACTGGCAGTGGCTTCGGATGAGATGCCAGTGTATTTGTACTGGATGGCATGTTATGGGGTCTCTTAAGATAGATGCATGCCCTTTCTAGGAGAAGCAAGCTGTCCCCACTTGTAGCCATGTCGTGCGGCCCAAGACACACTCTCCATAGCTGATCAGAACAGATGTGGGCCAGTTCTGAGGACAGCCTTAGCAAACTAATACAAGGGCCAGTCCACTCCTCTCTCAGAAATCAGAGCTAAGAGGCAGTCGGTGATGGAAGGGGACTCAGAGATCTGGAGAGGTCTGGAGAGAACAGGATCCGTGAGTAGGTAGAGGAAGCCAGTGGAGGGCCGGGGAACACCCAGGGGAGGGCGTCTAGGGAGAAGCAGAGACGCTCGGGGACTAGGGTCCTGCTGGCCAGCGTGCAGAGCCCCCAACCCCTGATAGTGTCCCATGCCAGTCGTCACCTGTCACGGGTATCCTGAAAGTGAACTTTTTTTTTTTTTTTTTAAGTAACTTAAGAGTCTTACGATGAAAAGGGCCTAACTTGAGCAGATAGCATGAGCCCTACTGGTCTAGGAAATGATAATATTCTATGTGGGTGATAGGGATCTGGTAGCAATTGCCTAGAAATTAGGCCTCAGCATTGTCATCAAAACACACAGGAGCCCTGGTTTCTCAGCATAACCACCCTGAGTACATTTTAATGCCCTAATGACTAAGATAGCTGCTTACTTTGATGTTCCTTATTCTTGCTATCGTTAGTGAGGTTAAGGGCTGCTTTTATCGTGATTACTGTTTAGAGTCTTCATCTTCTCCGGTAAACGGGAGGCCAGGAGGGGAGAAGGAGAAGGCAAATGCATTGTTCCCTTTCCAGTGTGAAACAATGGCTGGGTTTCTTTAGCGTCAGATGAAAAGACAGGAAAAGACAGAAAAAGCCAGGGACTCCTGGGGACCCAGAGAATGAGACATGTCTGGCCAGCAAGCTAAGCCAAGGTCCTGCGAATTCCCCAGGGGCATCTGTGCAAACCTCTTCAGGCCTCCTGAGCAGGTTCTTTCCGGCTGAAGCCTGCTGCCTCCGTGGGGTTACTTACTTCCAAGCCCTGGTCCGTCTGCACAGCTGCCTTTTCTGCTCCCACGCGGAAGTGTGATTTCCAGTTGGAGGTGGTTGTTAATTTGGAGACTGGAAAAGAGCACGAAGCATCCATCGGAGGGACTCCCTGTGGGACTCTGGGGGGAGGGTGCCCATAAGTCCTAGCCACGCCCCAACCGGCTTTTTGGGGTGGTGTTGGATGCTCACAAGACAGGAGTGCCCGGAAGCTTCCCAGACAGGGCTGTCTTGCTGACTGAGGAGGACACTTCCAAAGGGCTCCTGAGCAGGCCAGGTGACCTACTTAGTGCCGTGCGGGGGCTGCAGGATGATCTTCACGGGCCCTGGGTGGCACAGAGCCACACCATGCCCACCCCCCCGGACTCCCGGCTGAGGAGGCCCCTCCTCACTTTTCTGTCTAAATGCCTCCTCCTCTGCCCTGGTGTCCAGGCAGCAGCCAGGGAGATTTCCGACAAGGCGGCGAGCTGCGGAAATGGTGGCGTGGTCACCTGGCCCTTAAAACCGGCTCTACTGATGGAGGTCACATCAGGGCCACTGGGCCGTTTTGTTCCAGGACCAACCTGCCGTTCACCTCAGCTCTACCTCCTTGAGAGGTGGAGGCCAGAGGGCAGGGCATATCATCCTGAGGGCTCCGGATGGGTCTCAGAAAACCCATGACCCCTGGAAGCAGCGGGTGACACCTCGTGACCCCTGGAAGCAGCAGGTGACACCTTGCGGGCCTGTGCATTTTTCTGGGAAAAATTCCATAGAGTTTGTCCAGCACCTTGGAGGCATCTGTGAGCCCAGAAGGGTTTAAACCACTGACCTAGGGGTCTTCTTGTAGGAAAGAAAAGATGATTGGAGTGCTAGGGTTTTCAGGAATAGGAGGTAGACAAGAGACTCCCGTGTTTCCCACTAAGAAGCCTGGGACACAGGGGAGAGTCTGGGCTCTGGCATCAGGACTGCACCCCTGTCTTGTGAGCCTGGTGTGTCCACTACAGATCTGAGACCCAAAGCCTTTCCCCTGATGCATGAAGCCTTTCACAGTGTCGTGCGTCCCTCCTGGGATCCTGTGTCCTACCCTCTCTGATTCCCCAGGCTTCCTGCATTTACAATCTCTTCCCTGAATGTTCTCTTCCCCTTCACGCTCAGACCAAACCGGGCTCCGGTCCTGAGGGCACTGCGGCTGGGAGCCCCTCAGGTGATGCCCGTCCTCCCCTCCGGGCCAGCGAGGGCCAGGTTTTCCCATTGCTCTTCCAGGACTTACCCCTCCCTCTTCCCTAAGCCCGCCACCCCTCACCCTTCCCTCCTCACTTCCCCAGTATGCCTTGTAATAGGGGTCTCCAGAAAGACAGAACCAATAGGATATATGCAGATCTACAGAAAGATTTATTACGAGGGACTGGCTCATGCAACTATGGAGGCCTGCCATCTGCAAGCTGGAGGCCCAGGACAGCGGGAGGCCCAGGATACCTGGGCCCAGGACAGGTAGAGGCCCAGGACAACCAGAGCCCCGGGATAGCTGGGCCCAGGACAGCTGGAGGCCTAGTCTTGCCTAAACACCTGAGAACGTGGGCGCCTCAGTTAAATCACACCCCTGCCGGCTCCATGTCCGTGCTCACGTGGCTGCGTCTGCTGAAGAGAGTCACCAGCCCCACGGGGCCGCCTCTCCTTACGCACACACGCACACGACCGACCACCCGGGGCCCTTCCTGCTGCCCCACACTCGCCCATCTCCCAGGTCCACTCCTGCCTGCTTTCCCCTCGTCAGACCCCCTCAAACGCCTCTTCGTCCACCACCACCACCACCCCCACCCCCAGCTGCTCACCGGGTCCTAACTTCACACTACGAGTGTCATTTCCTCAGACTTCATTTCCCACCGCCCCGCCCCCCCCCCCAGCATCTGCCTCACACCCTGTGCCCTCCCTCTCTCGGGGTGCGGGGGCCAACTGTCCCTGCTCACCTTTGCAGCAAGACTCTTCTGTTCACAGTCACGGTCACTCGCTTTTCCCCTCCCCTTGTTGGCTGGAGCCACGCCACTCAGCCTCTTACTCCGCTGCTCCGTGGAAACCACCCTTGCCAGAGTCACCGGTCACCTCCTCCGTTGTCAAGCCTCAGTCCTCACCTTAGCGACCTGTCAGCACCCCTGCCTGGAGACACGTGCGTCACTTGTCTTCCCAGACACCACACTCTTCTGGATTTTCACCTACTCCCAGGTCCTTCCCTTCCTCTGTTGGTGGGCGCCTCCTCACCTCTCTGGCCACTGGAGTGAGCCAGGGCTCGGTCTTTGGACCTCCTCTCTGGCCTGTCTACGTGCACCAGCCTGTTGATAAATGCCAGCAATATGGCTCCCCAGTGTCCCTCTCCAGCCCGGACTACTCCCCACGGGCCAGACTCCTGTGTCCAACCAGTCAGTCCATATCTCTGTGTGGGTTTCCAGTAGGCCTTGCCCTTTGCAGAGTTCTCCCCACCTCACCAAGCCCACGACCTTCTGAGAGAATCAGTGCCTGAGACGTCATGAAGTCACCCTTAAAAACGTCCTTGACTCTGGCAGACACGTAAGCAAGAAGAACAACTCCAAGAGCTGGATGTTGTCAAGGAGAAGGAATTCCTCCCCAAAGAAGGCTTCAGGTAGAGTCCGGGGAGATCAGGAGAAAGGAAAGACTCCTGTGAGGTGAGGACGAGATCATGGAGGAAAATGGGCAGGGCCTGCCCTTCAGAGGTCAGACCAGAACCTAATCCGGGCACTTCGCCCTTCCCAGAGCAGGGAACCCTCACAAAGCCTGTCTCACAGGAAGGAGTCTATCACTTCCCTGGACCAGGGGCTACAGCACTCTCCCTTTTCTCAATGGGAGTTTCGCTATTTCTACTTCATGACCATGTGTCGGCTGTGGGGTGTGGGGCAGACAACTTATCCCCCTTAGTGCACTGGTCGCCGGATCATGTGGTCTCAAGGGAGAAGAACGTACGTGACCCGGAGATCCTGGATGCGACTTTGGGTTGTCTCCCTAGAGAAGGGGATGAGTATTTCTGTGTGTGGGAAGAAGAATGAGACGGTCTGGTGACCAAAGCGATGTACTGTGGCAGAGACAGTGCAATTTCCCTTCCTCTTGGGCACACAGGAAAAGGATGTTTCCCAGTCTCCTTTGTAGTGGGTGGGGCGGCGTTACAAGATTAGACTGATGTAAGGCAGGCAAAGACTGGTCCACAAAAGGTTACCCTGATGTGATTTTCCCTTTTATCCCCTCCCAAGGTGACCTTGGAGGCATATGTTGTGGACGTCAGTGTCACAGGATGGATGCAGCCCAGGTCCCTAAATGACTACATGACACAGAGTCCCTGGATGACCTACGGACCCTCCCTAGCTTCCATCCTTTTTCCATCTCAGATCCCATTGAACTTGAGGTAAGCAAGCAAGACTTTTATTGCATTAGTTCACTGAGCTTTTAGGGTCGTGTGTTAGTTAGCCGATCCTGACTTATATAGAAGGCACTCAATAATTATGGTGACTGAACGTTCTAATTTCAGAGCCCAAGCTTTTAACCGCGACACTCTCTTGACTGGCCTTCTGGATGCTCTCTCCCCCTTTCTTTATAACATTCCTTTCTGAGCTTAAAAATATTATGTGCTCAGAAACCACCACCACCACCACCAACAAAACCAAACTGATTAAAAAATGGGCACAGGACTTGAACAGACATTTTGCCAAAGAAGATGTACAAATGGCCAACAAGCACTTGAAAAGATGCTCTCAACATCACAGCCTATCAGGGAAATTCAAATCAAAACCACCATGAGCTATCACCTCCCCCCGATTATGATGGCCACTCTCCAGAAACCAGAAAATATCAAGGGTCAGCGAGGATGTGGAGAAATCAGAATACTTATCCACTGCTGGCGGGAATACGAAATGATGCCATGCTCCGGAAAAGACCACAGCAGTGCCTCAAAAAATTAAAAGCAGAACTACCCATATGACCCAGCAATTCCATTTGTGGATAAATGCCCCCAACAACTGAAGGCAGGGCCTCGAAGAGATGCTCTGCTTTATTTACAGCAGGATTATTCACAATAGCCAAAGGCAGAAGCAACCCAAGTCTCCATCAAGAGATGAAAGGATAAATGAAATGTGTCACACACATACGCTGGAATTATTATTCAGCCCTTAATAAGGAAGGAAATTCTGACCCACGCGACAACATGGTTGCCTCTTGGAGACATTTTGCTAAGTGAATACGCCGGGCGCTAAGACAAATACTGAATATCACAGATTCCACTCAACGTGAGGTTCCTAGAGTAGTCAAATTCACAGAGACAGAAAGTACAATGGTGGTTGCTGCAGGTTCACGGGGCGGGGCGGGGGGAGGGAATGGGGAGCCGTTTAATGGCTACAGAGTGCTAGTTTTGCAAATGCAAACAGCTCAGAGATTGGTTGCACAGTGTGAATGTACTTAACACTGCCGAACCGTATGTATCCTTAAAAATTGGTTAAGTGGTAAATTTCATGTTAAGTGTATTTCACCATTAAAACTCTTTAAGAGGTTATTATGTGCTGGCTTTTAAAACATAACAACATAGAAAGGAAGTTTCAAAAAACGGCATCCTCTCTCACTCCAGTAGAGATTGCCACTGTTGAGAGGCTTTTTATGGAGCCAAAGCGGAGTTGGTTTATAAAACACTGATTCCACAGCACGCAGCGAAAGCCCGTTCTGGTGGAGAAAGAAATCCTGTTATATAGGGTGAGAAGGAGCCCCCTTTCCGCTCGCAGGCAGGCTGGAACAGCTCCAGGATTTCTGCGTCTTCACATTTGAATTTGGTGAATATTGTCCTTGTAACAAGAAGCTCAGCGGCCCGAGGCAGAGGCCAGCATTTGGGCAAACTAGAATCAGTTCTAGATTCAGGACTGTACAAATTGATACCTGGGGCATTTCCTCCTTTCATTTACACACACATTCATTCATTGAATAAATACTTGTTGATCGTCTACACACAGTAGACACTGTGCTTCAGGCTCAGGAGACAGCAGTGACTAGAAGAGGATGTTTACCTTCTAGTTGGGGAGAAGAACTGCGTACACGTAAACCAACAGAAACTGCAAACTGTGACGGGCTCTGAAAAAAAAAATGGACAGGGTAGGGATATGGAAAGGAAGGGGGAGTTGACATTTGAGCTGAGACCTGGAAGATGGGAATGCGCTCCCACAGAAAGTGCTGGAGACAAAAGAGGACATGCGAACAGACCAAAGGAATCTGTGGTGATGGGGTCAGAGCAGTGGTTGCCTCTGGAACGGTACTGACTCAAAGCAGGGGGCGGGGGGAGCCTTGTAGCCTGCTGGCATCTATATCTCTACTCTGCTGAATATCTATGTACAGAATTATGTACAAGCTCACTGTGCTGCACACTTTAAAGTTTGTGCACTTTACTACATGAAGGTTATACAGTAATAAAAATAAAATAAAATACCCCTTCCCAAAAGAGAAAAGAAAGGGCGGAGGTGGGGGGAGGTTCCAGGTGGAAGGAAACTTAAGCGCAAAGGCCTACAGGTGTGGCTGGCTTGGGTGGGACAGCAGGTGGTCCCAGGAGGAAGGCAGAGGCCCAGGGGCCAGGGGCCAGAGGACAGTGGGATGAGTGATCACGCTTCACATTAACAGCAGTCATCCCTGGGGAGACAATTAAGATCGGGGCTCCGAGACCAGTGTTTTTAACTGTTAACTCTCAACACAAAAATGTTTTTGAACAAATCTTCATGTCTCACATGTATCATTTTAAAAATAGATAAATGAGGCCACTTGTTTTTGCTTTGTTTTTTTCCTGCCTTTCCATCTGCTTGTTCTAAGGAGGCTGACGGCTCAGAAGGGCCTTTTCTTGTCTCCGTCGGGAAAAGATCTAGGGGGGGGAAGCCCTCATGATTTCTTCTAATCAGGCCTGCGGTCCTAAACCGTCCACTCAGAGAATCATCATTTCTTGCTTCTGGGAAGGACACTTCACTCACCCAGCACCGACCGAGTGCTCACATGCGCAAGACATTTCTTGTTCCGCAGATATTCCCAGGTCTAATCTCTCCCTTCTCCTTTCACGATGGAGCCAAATGCAGAGACCGCAAACCTGAGGCAGCTGGGTAGGATCCCGGGGCGATGGAGAAGGGGAGAAGATACCCCAAAGGGCCTGCCTGCCAGTCTGGGCTCCAGGGCGCAATCCGGCTGAGGCCCTGGGGATGGGCTGATGGGAGCAGGGGAGCGTTTTCAAGACCACCAGCCCTGGGGAAAGCTGTGTCTCGCGCCTCTTGGAAAGTGTCCTCTCTCGACTCCTTGCAGACGAGCACTGGCCGGCGCCCACCTCCCCACCCGGCCTCCAGGCCCCCGTCGGCTCCGAGCGTGCAGGCGGCCGGGCTGGCTCGTCCTCCCGGGGCCCCGTCGGCCTTCAGCAGGGGCCACTGCAGGTGGGACCGGGCTGTCGCCAGCATCTTTCTGGACAGTCAGCATCCTCCGTCCTGGCATTACAGCAGCCCTCGGGGCAGCCTCCTCTGGAGCAGGGAGGTCCTCTGGACGCCTCTCTCTCGGTGCTACAAGGGGCAGGAGAGGCGAGCAGGGGTGTCCCCGCCTGCCTGGGGATCGAGCCGCGGGGAGTTTCACCCCCCCCCCACCCCCGTGTGCCCACCTCACCGTTCCGCAGCCGCCCAGCGAGCTGGGGGACCCCACGGCCCCAGGCTGCCCTCGGGGCGCATGCGACCTCCCCCACCTCC